GACACAAGGGAGGAGAATTAAGGATAGCCTCGACTTGTGTTATAACTGTATAGAATTCTTCAAATGTTAGGATTTTATTTCCCATAACTCGGTAAAAATATGATTTAAATGACTTGACGCCAGCCTCGGCTAATCCATTCAAATGAGGAGAATTAAAATTCCATGAAATGTCTAATTTTTGTGCTGTATTGTAAACAAGTTATATCAATTGATAATTAGCACCCTTAAAATTAGTGCCCTGATCACAAACAATATGATTGCATCTGCCCCTTCAAGCAACGAAGCACCTAAAAGCTGCTAAGAAGGATTCTGAACTAAGATCAGATGTGGCCTCCAGATGAATAGCCTTAGTAGCGGTACAAACGAATAAACAGACATAACCCTTAAAAGTTTTCGCTCCTCTATGTTTGCTCATCAAAAGCGAAAATGGACCAGCAAAATCAATGCAAACTGATGAGAATGCGTTTAACTGAAAAAAGCGGAACGAGGGTAAATCGGCCATATAGGGATTATAGGACTTGGGTTTAGAACGGAAATAGGTAACAGGACAAGCATTTATAAATTGCTGCTTTAGGGGATAAGATCCAATATTGTTGAAGTAACAAGTATTGCAAGGTTTTTAAACCAGGATGAAAATGTGAGCTGTGAACTGATTCTATTATCACTTCTGTAAGTCTGTGGTTTTTCGGTAAAAGGATAGGATGTTTAATATCATAACTAAAAGAAGATCTTTTAAGGCAACCCCCAACTCTAAGTAAATTATCTGGATCCACAAATGGTGCTAATTTACGAAAAGGTTTTGGCAGTAACTTATTTTGATCAATCTTAAGAAAAATATCAGAAAAAAGATCCAGCCGAATATACCGTATAATCGGTATAAGTGAAGAATTTATTTCTTGTGGAGTAAGGATTCTGTTTTCGTTAAGTCTTTGTTTAGACCTAGAGTTTTTTTGTAAACCTTATCACATAAGCAAAAATTCTTTGAATTTGGGGCAAAGAAGACCATCGGTTGAGTAAATTCAATAAAAAATTGTCATTAGTGACTGTAATTGTAAGAACAACTTGTTTTTCCTCTTTTTGGACATCCATTGATAAATCAGAATAAGATTCTGATTTATCAATGGATAACCATGTAACCGGAAAAATCATGTAACTCGATGCGAGATATATATTTTGAGTCCAAATAACGAGCAATTTTAATAACAGCGAGATTTGGTAACTCAGTTTTAAATTTTGTCCAAATTTCGGTAATCTCGTCGGATAATATTTTATCCCAAGAGATCTTGAGCTCCCACAATCTTTGTAACAGACGTTTTGCAAGCAGAAGACAGGGTGAAATATATCCGAGAGGATCAAATATCCTACTAATTTCAGACAAAATGTGTCTCTTTGTACAGGAGCGATCAAGAGGGACATAGGAATAGGAAAATATATCTGATGTAAGATCCCATTTTAGTCCCAAAAGTTTGATGAATGAAGGTTCGTCATTATCAACCATAAGATGAGTTCTGACAATCAAAGGCAGAAAGATGGGTAATTAGATCAGGGTAATTACTAGCCCATTTTTCAAGTTCAAAAAACCTCTTTTCATAACTGCGATTAATTCAGATTGAAGAGTCAAAGCTGAGTTTATATCATTAGCCCCCAGTAAACCATCGTCCATATAAAATTGAGTTCTTAATGCTTTAGCTACATGAGGAAAATTATGTTCTTTAGAAGTTGCGAGTTCATACAAGCTCCGTAGTGCCACATATGGTGAAGCAGATATACCATATGTCACAGTGCGTAAATGATACTCCTGAAGAGGTTCAGAAAGGGAGAAACGCCATAAAATACGTTGATATTTCTAATAGTCGGAAATCACATTAATTTGCCTGTACATTTGCTTAATGTCGCAAACAAAGACATAGGCATAAAATCGAAATCTAAGTAAAAGACTTGCAATGTTTTTCTGAAGCTTTGGACCTACAAGTAAGGTGTCATTTAGAGATACACCGTTTACGTCACGAAACCTGCATCAAAGACTACCCTTATTTTAGATACAATCTCGGATTCGGAAATTTGTTCCTTAAATATAGCATGATGGGCTATATAATATGCCGAAGGAGAATTGTTATGCTCTGTAGGAATGAGAGACATAATGTGACCCTTATCTAAATAATTTTGTGCGCTAATCAGGAATTTTTCTAAACCGATTTTCAAGCATCGAAAAATGTCGATAGGCTTGAGAATAAGTATCAAGAAATTTAGGTTTTTTTGACAAAAAGGTAACGGGACAAAAAATCGACCTGTAGAATCTCTGACAGTTTAAGACATAGACATAGTTTAAAAATGTGAAGATATTTCTTCACATTTTTACACGGTTTCATTGTGCACTGCACTATAACACTGTTTGCAGCCAATGATATTCCATTGTGACCTTCAACAGGAATCGAAGAATTTCTTTTTGAAAGTCCAAGACGTTGAACACAAGATTAAGAATGCTAGATTGAGGAAGTGATAAGGTGCTTGTAATATAGTCAGAAATGAGTTGAGATAATTTCTACTTTCGTTCAACTTCGTGGTACAACTGGGATGATTCATCCACATTGATTCGTCTATACAAGTTTTGTCGATTGTGTTCGATTCAACCGTTTATTTCATCGAGTTAGAATGTTTTCATTTTGACTTGTGATATAATAAGTTCCGTACGTACGTTTCGAATCATTCACATTGTTCAACTGAACTGAATGAAGAATAAATTGAAGCGTGTATATGTATGCTTTTCAACTTGATTGAACAATGTAATTGAATCATCCACATTGTTCAACCGAATTAAATGGTGTATTTCCGCCTTAAGTGACGTCACTTTATATAAATTGTGATGAACAAGCAGTTTTATGTAAAAATGCTATAGTAGAGAATATTCAAAATATTTATTTAGACAAAATCTATTACTTATTATTAGGCTTTATATTTTTTGTTAGTTACTTATCGAATAAAAATATTTGTTTTATATTATCACTCAATACTCAATACTTATTTCTACTTACAAAAATTGAACGCATTCCCGCAATTTCAAGAAAACTAAAAATATCTCGGTAAATAATGAGTTTATGTCTAGTAAATGTTATATAAAAATGAAAGAGTATCATAAATACAATATTTCTAAAAAATAAAATACATGGTTATCCATTTAAAAAAATTGAGAAAATCGTAATTTTGTTTTGTAGTTCACCCTGTATATAAATTTTAGGGATTTCGAAATAAAAAATGGTCATAACTTGTTAACTACTCTGTACGTATAGTAAGGCAATGCCAATAATATATGAACAAGAATTATGAGAGGAATGTAAATATGAAAAAAATATATAGGGTGTCCCATCTAAAAAAAAATTATGTTTGCTATACCACATAGTTAATCACCAACAGGTCTTAAACCATTTTTTAGTCATTATCATATTACTTTTATATCATTATCTTTTTTTACTTTTTTTTAAGGTTTTACAGGGAACCTATATTTCGTTTAAAGCATCTTGGAATTCTTGTAATTTTTCATTCTGCAAAATGTATCATGTTCTCTTAACTTTCCTATTTCATTTTTACTAATCGCTAGTTGCTCCCTCAGATAGGCAACTTCAGATTACAAAGTATCTTTTTCACTTCTGTGGTTACTTGTGGGAAATCGATTTCTTGGAGACCTATGTCGACTAGTATTCATAGTAGGACTAAGTGACGGGGGTAAATGTCGATCTGGGCGATCTTCTATCCTCATTCTTTTCTCCTTGCCTGGAATCGGCTCCTGCAATTATTTTGCAAATGCCCTATTCTTCCACAATTAAAAAATCTTTTCTTTGATTTTGAGATATTTGTTGCACTATGCTTAACATAGTCAGAGTTTTCCATGCTTTTTATGTGGGTGGTTTTAAAATTTTGCTAGTTCTTACTGTGTCTGGTTCAACTATGGAAGATGATAAAGTTGTTTGTTTCGATTCGACATTAGTTACTGAAACAATATTAGATAAAGAAGCTTGGGTTTTTCATTTTTTTTTCTAATTTAACCATTTGTCCTTCTAAATTAAATTTTAAATGGTTTTGTTGTTGTAATATTTGATTTTTAAATCGTTTTGATGTATTATTTTATTTTCTACATGTGTTTTATATTGTTCTGTTCTACTTTTATTTTATCTATTCTACCAGTACTTTGACTTACCTCTAGTATTACAACACTTAATAAAATAATTCGTAAACTGTCAACGTTCTCTGTTTAGTATACATTTTCTGATATTCCAAACATTACTAGACATTTTGATATTTTTGGATGACATCTTGAAATTGTTCTGAAGGTATTTTCTTGTGGCATCTTAATGCAATTACCTACTCTTTTTATTGGAAATAAGCCAATTCCTGAAAATTATAGATTTCTTTAATAATTCTTCTTTTTCGCTAAGGAATACTTTCTTTATGGAACAAATCTCACGGAACTGTATATAATATATAAATGCAGAACTGGAACGATATTTTATATTTAACATTTGATTCGTATGATTCGATTGGTTAGGCATTGGACGTGATCTAAATGTTACCCAAGCTTGTTAGTGGTAGAGCTCGTTTATTTTTTCTGTATTTATACCCCTCATTCCGGTAATACATAATTGAATTGTGACCTTTTATCCTGCTATATCTCCAATATAACTTTTAAATAGGAACTACTCAATTACAGCAAGTTTAAAAGCTATGTTTTTATTTTTTATTCGACAAATTGATTGTTCCATTATATTTACTTCTGATGGTAAAAGTTTTAAGTAAGTAAAAGGTCAAAATTTTGCTGACAAAGAGTTTACTTACTTATTTCTATCCATAAAATTTTCTTAAATTAACGTTGTCCTATAGATTAGCTGTACCTATAGAACCTATAGAACATCTGAAGAGGTTATATTGTGGTGAAACATGTCTTCATAATATAGCGAAATTTTTTCGAAAACAGTTTGAATTTATCTTATATTGATTTTTGATTTTAGCTAATTCTCCAATATTTTCGTATTTATCTGCATCGTTAAACGGAATTAAGACAATCAGGTCTTCTAATGCTGAAAAGATGCTTATTTCAGAGTTTGATTCCTTAAAAGATCAACACACCAGTACTTTTTTTTCGTTTTTAGTGAGTAGTGTAGCACTTGGATTGTATTTAGATCTATTAAGTTGTACTTTTATAACATTTATTTCAGCCCAATTTCTTCTGTTTAAACACGGTAAGTGCAACTAATTTATGATACTTACAACTAAATATAATAAGATAACCCTCTCGTAAGCTCATTTTAAAATAGCTCTGAAGTTTTTAGAAAAATTCATTTTTTGTTAGGTATTTAAAAACAAAATGAATTTAAATGAAGTTCTAAATACTCTTTATTCTGTTATTAATTCATTTCTAGACATTATTAGATTTATTAGACAGAGTTATGAGTACACTTTACATATTATAATCTTGTCTAAGCATTCTATAATCAAATATGAAGCATGGTTAATGTTTTGTCAATAGAAAAAACAGCAATGATTAGTGATTTTATTGCCAAGATAGTTCAATTCAAGTTAGTATATGAAGAAATATTTAAAACGACTAATTTTTGAAACTGGAAATTATGCTATATAGATACGTTTGAATAAGATCTAGCAGTAAATATGATGATTGGCAATAGCCTCTTCAAAAAGAGATCAAGACTAAATATGACAGAATACCATTAAAAACAGAGTAGAAAATAATGGTAATTCACACAAAATAATAAATGAAAAAGCACCACGAAACATAAACAAAGAAAAAGCAGTTACTTAAGATTATCTTCCTGTAAAAGTCATGTTGATATGAAACAGTATATTTAATAGAAATGAATGAATGGAAGTAAGAATAATGTCAACTTAATATATAAACAGAATTTATATACAGGGTGTTTCACAAAACTATCTATATATCGAAAACAACTTACAACATCACGATATTTATGAAAATTGGTATATATGGATAACAAGTTTGAAACATTCTGTATATTATTGCATTTTAACATTCTACGTAAAATTCTAGATAAAATTTGTACAACAAAACTTTATATTTTTTGAGTTATTCATCTTTTTTCATAAATTTTGACAGCGACAAACTTTCCTATCCGTAACATTTTGAAGAGAATATTTAAAAATTTAATACATTTTGGTTGTTTTTAACAATAAGTTAAAAAAATAAAGCACACAATTTATTTTGCTTAATTACACAAATATTCATTATAACAACTTTAAACAAGTTTTCAAAATTTTGTCCTTGAACCTCCAGACATTTATAGAGCCTTTTTAACACACCTTTGTTTGTTGCTTGGCTGATCATTGACTGCATTGCGAAACCTAATTTCACAGTCTTCCTTTGTTATAAGCAGACGGGAATATACTTCATATTTTATGTAGCTCCATATAAAAAAAATCTGGAGGTTTTATGTCTGGTGGTCAAGGGGGCACCAGAAAAGACCATTGTTAGGTTATTCATCTATCTTCGAATGCCTCATCTACAAACTGGTTTATCATTTTGGAACAATGAGGAGGAGCTCGATCGTGAAGAAAAAATAGTTTTCTATATTCTTGTGGTGGTAAAGAATCTAAATAATTCGTTTTTAATTTTTTTATTATATTTCACCTAAAAAAGTATAAAATTATTTAAACATAATTTCAATCATTTAAGTTACCATCATAAAAGTGGAGAGCTACAAACTGGTTGTCTCTGACCGCACAAAAGACAACAAACTCCTACCGCTTCTGAAAACCACGTACTTTTGTTAAATGTTAAATTACTTTGCTGCAGTAATGCAAATTGTGCCTATTAAATATTCCGTTTTTGTAAATTTTGATTACTCTCAACATATAATATTCTTAAAAAACTCATTATCTTCTTGACATTTTATCGGTAAAAATTCTGCAAACTCTATTTTTTTATTATAGTTTATTTTCTTTACACTTTGAATTAGAATGTGAACTGTTTAAGAATAGAGATGACTTTGTAGCGCGCGTTGTGACTTATTCCCAATAAAAGTAGTATATTGTAATAAGATGCCCCAAGAAAGTAGCTTTTAATCAGTCTTATTTTTCCTACCAAAATATTGTAATCTATTGGTCCCTCTTCACTTGGCTATGTTTTGACTCTTAGTAGTGGTTTTTGTCTTCTTTGTATACCTGAATCTCTCATTCAGGTGTACTTGCTAATGTTCTCCAGGTGTAAAGACGATGCTGTGTTAGTTTTAAAATTGTGTTTGTTGTTACTAGTTGCTTTTCTGCACAAAAAGAAGCCAACATATTTCCTCTTTCATTTCGTTTTATTAAATCCTCGATAATTCATACAATACTTTCTGTCACCTTAATTCTTGTAATCAATTCTATGAGTCTAATCTATCCGGCCCTAGAGCTTTTCTATTTTTCATAACGTTGACATATTTTTTTAATTTCTTTCGGTGTTATTTAAGTTTCTTTGAGGGAAAAAGTATTATCTTGTTAATTAAGAGATAAAGACAATTCTTATTCTTCCCAAGAACATGCAGATTAGCCATAATTAGTCTTATCGGGTAATTACCGTTTCGACGTTGAACATGTCCGAACCATCTTAACGTATGCTATTTCATTTTGGCATCAATTAGTGCTACCTCTTCTTCTTAGCCTTCTCTAATCCATTTTGGACATAAGCCTCTTCCAACTTCTTTCATCGTTCTCTATCCTGAGCAACATACTTCCAATTTGTTCCGGCTATTTTTTTATGTCAACTACCCATCTCATCTGTGATCTTCCTCTTGGTCGTCTACCTTTGTTAGATCTCCAATGTTGTATTGTGGCGTTCCAACGTTGGTCTTTTTATCTAGCAGTGTCACTTGCGGAGCATGATTTGAGTTTGGCAATTTTTGTTGTAATATCTTATCCAGTCGTTCCTCTTTTTATCTAACAGTGTTATACCTAACATTACTCTTTCCATTGTCCGTTCTACGTTCGTTCTAATGTCCATTAGCCATGGAAGCTCTGTACGCCGAAAGATTTTCTGGCACACGAAGGCACAAGTTGCACCTACTTTTAAAACTAATCCACCACCATTTGCTTGCAATGCAGTAAGTTGACGGTAAGAATTTCTCCCGACCATCCATTTTAGTAAGACCATAAGCATATTTTCTAATTTGATACACGGTTATTCCAAAACCCAATTCTTGCATTTCTATAATATAACTGTAAAGCCTCAACTCTAAATCACATGACAATGCAAAAGGCCTCCCCAGCTTTTTTACCAAATCCTCTTCATTCACTAGGTAACGTTTCAAAGTATTCCATGGGACTTCTACTTCTACTTCTACTAAAAGAACAAAATATATCCAAAGTTAACGTCTCAAAAGTTCTTGAAAAATGTGTGCAGAAACACTAAGAAAAAACAACCGCAATTTAAGGAATAAAAACTTACCTTGGCTAAATCACGAATTTTATGCAGCTTTTTTTATTGATAATTAGTTTATTGAATGGTTTTATAAAATTTTATAAAGAAAACAGCAATTATTCCAATAAAAATTTAACCAAATATGTAACAGTCTTTCACATTCAATAAAATGACTCCACTATCGCACAATGGTCAAAACAGTCTGTTTACTAAACGCAGGTTCGCGCATCGCTAAATCGGAATATGTGTGTCCTCCTTACACTCGTAGCAACTTACAAGCGCTGTGTCATGAATGTGCTTGCATAGGGAACTGTGTGGTAATCAGATTAAAAATTATCACCAAACTACTTGTATCACCAATATACTTTTTCTTGCCCTATATCCTTTGCGAAAGCAAGCCTGTTCAACCGGTTGGTAATTATCCATTTTTAAGTCAACCTAGTATTAATAATTCTTATAAACATTTTGTATACTTGACTGAGCAACGATATAGGTGTATAACTATTTAGGTTACGTTTTAGCCCTTTTTGTGTATAAAGTATTACTATACTCCATTCCACGAATATACGACTGTTTTAAATTCGCTTTAAGGTGTCGATTTAAATGGTCCAATGTACTGAATTGTACAATAGTAAATTCTCCCCATTTTTAAAAGACTGTTACGACAGATATAAGCCTTAGATTTAAATATGAAGTCATGATATAAATATAAAGTTAATAGTTTATAAAACAGTTGTAATTCAGATTTCGAAATATATAATTACTATCATGGAGTTTATTTTTTCATTTCAATTATTTCATTGTAAACAAGTTGGTTTTTGAATTATGTGATTTAAACGAAACGTAACAATACTTAAGTGATCAAATAGTGTAAATTTTTTAGTCGAATATTCAATAAGTATTAAAAAAAACAAAAAAACTTACTTATTCACTTATTCTCTTAATCTTCTAAAACTATCATCAACGATCAGATTCACAGCCATAATCAGTCGGCGATATATGAAACTGTATATAAATTTTCGTTACTTTTTAATATCTCTAATGACTCGGTACTTTAACTATCAAGAGCCGGTATGTTATACCCGTTACTTTCGGAACTTTTAAGAGAACATAAACTCAAAGCAAACAAATATTTAAAACTAACAAAGTGAAATATTAGATCCTTTTTCTGGTTTGTGAACCATCGTTCTGCCAATTTCTTTTAATTTATATTAAAAATAGTATATTTCTTTTTATTACAGTTGTAATACCTCATAAAGCAATAAAATCTGTTATATTAAAGAAACCCGGCACGCCTATTTGGTGTTTACATTTCACGGAAAGCTTACCCAAATGTCTAAAGAACACATTTGGCTTCATAGACGGCATTGTATTTATTTGTAGATTGTAACTGAAATAATTTTAGTTTAGATGTCATACTAGTAGACCCATTTTATTGGAATAATGATTAGACCAATTGACCTTCATACTTCTACTTGCACAGTAAAATATTCGTTGTCGCAGTAAACCAAAACAGTCGTATATTCGTGGAATAACCTATAGACTCGCGGTTCAGTCTTTAGAAATTTTGCTCTTCTTTATTATTGGTGTCTTTAATTTTGATGATTTTTTGGACAACCAGTATTATTGCCCTTAGACATTTTAGGCCTCTGTTGTTTTCAATGACCTGCTCTATTAAGTTCTCGTTCCATTTTTGTCGCGTATTAATTCTTTTTTATCTACTTTATTATATTCTTCGTATGCTTAAGTATGGCATTTGTGTATATTTAGTAGTTGTCTTCTTTTCTTCATTAGTTGTTTAGTTTCGTTGCTTATGTTGTCTTCTTTAGTTCTTGTTTTCGTTGTGACTTATAGTCTGGCTTCGAGAAGGTGTTTATTTATGTTTTTGTTAATGTCGTCAATTTGGTCTTGATTATGTGAAGGATCTGATTCAAACCTCAATACTCACGAAGACCTTTCGGAATTCCTCTTTATGCGTTCTTACGTTAAAAGCATCTATCCGCGTTGCTTTTGTAATATTCTTTTTTCTTTCTTCTTTCATGTTAATATTTATTTTCGTGTTAGCTATACGATGTTCACTACCAGTTATGTTGTTTATTGTTGTGACGTTTTCAAATATTCTTTTGTTGTTTGAGAGAAAATTTAAAATTATTTTATTTTTGGTTGGTTTGGTGGTGGTGGGTAGGTGCGATCCATGTCCACCTTCTGTTGGGTTACTTTTTGTAAAAGTTATTCATATCATAAATGTTTTATTCTTCTAAGAATTCCAATATTTTTTCCTCTTTTTTTTGTCGAATCCGAAATTTTCAGTCTTGTTTTCTAAGTCTTCAATCTCAATTCTTTTTTTCCAATTTTGGAGTTTAAATCTCCCGTTATTATTTTAGATTGTTTGTTGTTGTCTATAGCTTTTTGAAGTTCTTTATAAAAAGTATTTATTTTATCATCAGTTGAAGCATAAACCAGAACAATCTTTATTCTGGTTTCTAAATTTAGATTTAAGATCATGTATGTAACCCTGTTTGAGAAGCTATGGATTATTTGAATTTGTGATTTTCTCTTCTTGCTGATTAAGAAACCTACTCCACTGTATGTTGTATGCCTGTTGCCTGAACTTAAGTCCACATACCCTTCACTTCTTCTTTTAACTTATGATAGTCCCATTCTGTCCCAATTCATGTTCCCCAATTCCTCTTTCAGTTCTTAGGGGTTTTGCCATGGAACGTATTTTTGTTTCTTCTTCTTTAATGTCGACTTCTCTCCCCTCCCCAGAATCCTTGGGTAGACTGTTGCTTTAGCAGGCAGATTGAGACCTCAGTGCCATAAAAACAATGTGTAGTTCCACATCGATAATATTATACACTAAGAAATAGTGTCAACGTTAAGGTAATATTAAAAATAACATCTTAATTATGATGATTGTAAATAATGTTTTTCCATTACAGCAAGTTCTGATGAAGCCCAAAATTATGTGGCAAAAGCTTGACTCACTCACTTTGAAGCACCGGTTTTTTATTGCTTCCTTAGTATTGGGTCGTTCCCGGTTACCTTCAACTGTCTGTTATTTACCAGTAGCGCGCTACTGTCATCGACTTTCTTTTTAATATATATATATATATATATATATATATATATATATATAATATATATATATATATATATATATATATATATTATTTGTAGTCTCAGCAATTGGTCTGTGTGAAATAAAACTCTATTTGTTATTTCTCAATATTTCGTCACGATTTTGTGACTTCTTCAGGAGAAAACTGTAAATTTATTATAATTATTATATGTAAACAAAATGAATATTTCAATACTTACAACTTAAGATTAAAAATTTTAAATTTTGATAACATATCCAATTAGATAAATGACATTTTTTTTTTTTTTTTGATTTAATTTATTTGGGAGTTATGGTAACCGCAATATTTTATAGAGTGAATTCCCATTGTACAATTTTTAGCGAATAAGTTTTAATAAACAATTACATATTGTAATTGTAATTGTAAAATTATTAATCTAAAAATTGTACAATGGGAATTCACTCTATAAAATATTGCGGTTACCATAACTCCCAAATAAATTAAATCAAAAAAAAAATGTCATTTATCTAATTGGATATGTTATCAAAATTTAAAATTTTTAATCTTAAGTTGTAAGTATTGAAATATTCATTTTGTTTACATATAATAATTATAATAAATTTACAGTTTTCTCCTGAAGAAGTCACAAAATCGTGACGAAATATTGAGAAATACCAAATAGAGTTTTATTTCACACAGACCAATTGCTGAGACTACAAATAATATTTAACACAGTACGGTCGAGAATAATTTGATAAATATATATATATATATATATATATATATATATATATATATATATATATATATGGCATCGGAAAAGGAGTACGACCGTCAATCCAATATATATTAAGGATCACTTAAACGAGTGGTGTATTCTGAAAGCATCATCAGTTCATTTAAAAAGTACACTATAAAAACCACACAAGCATGGAAAAGATGTTATAAGTGTAATCTTAAAAAGATATGTAGCAGTCAATGATATTAAAAATGTGAGAAAGCTCAAGTAAATGGACATTATACGATAATATTGTATAAACAATCAATTAAACTAACAACAATTAGCAACTTATTAAAACTTGTGTAACACATTTCATTATTAAATAATTTAAAATACAATTAACATATTAAAATAAATTCATAACATAAATAAAATAAATCAATATTATTACTTAATTCATATAGACTTATGCAACTTACATTGCATTCACTCTCATTATTGCATATACACAAATTAGTGTGAATTGTTTAATGGCTAAATATTATAATACATAATAATTAAATTGATTCATAGAATCTCTCATAAATTACAGTTCCAAGTGTATGAACCTTGGACTGTTGGAAATTATGATCGATTTTCACCTGTGGCTAATTATCCAGCTACAACGTTGACGATTTATATATATATATATATATATATATATATATATATATATATATATATATATATATATATAATATGAGTTCGGACTGACTTTCGCTTATTTGTTTTATGATCTCAAGGTTGGCTGTCTTTTCACGTTGTTGGCGCAGTTGCTTCAATCTAACGCCATTTTACCGGCGGCAGTCGTGAGGCTTTGAGTGGTAACTTCATTATACACTATTTTTTTTAAATTTTAATAATAATATCTTTAATAATGCTACCAAAGGTTAAAATCAAACCATAAATATTGCATATATCGTTGGACGTGAATCTATCATATTCTCAGTTCTTCATTCTCTGCTTAATGTTAAATTACAATTACATGTATATTAGACATGTTCTTTTACTGTGCTAAGTTTTAATAAGTTGCTAATTGTTGTTAGTTTAATTGATTGTTAATACAATATTACCGTATGATGTCCATTTACTTGAGCTTTCTCACATTTTTAATATCATTGACTGCTACATATCTTTTTAAGGTAACACTTATAACATCTTTTCCATGCTTGTGTGGTTTTTATATTGTACTTCTTAGATGAACTGATGATGCTTTCAGAATACGCAAGCGATACGTCTTCAAAATAGATAAAGTAGCCATCAACTTTGTCTTTTTATTTCTCCACCTTGAGACCGATATAAGAACCCAGCACTTGTCTGAGTGATCCTTAATATATATATATATATATATATATATATATATATATATATATATATATATATCGTAAAAATAAAATATTCTTACCAGTTTGTGTTTTTAGATATAGGTAGTAGTTATGTCGGCTTAGTTATAACTCAATGTTCTTTATTAAATATTATGATTCAATTTGGAATTCGTGCAAGCGCAGAGCTTTCAAGTAATATGATAAGCGTTGAAAGGATTTTACAATATACAAAGCTGGACACAGAAGGCCCATTTGAATCACTGCCAACTAAGAAAGCTCCTAAAAATTGGCCAGATAAAGGGCAAATTTCATTTAAAGAAATGTACTTAAAATACGCGCCGGAACAGTCGCCTGTTTTGAAAAATTTAAACTTTGAAATAAAATCTGGAGAGAAGGTATGTTTATTATTTTACTTTTTTTATTATTTATTTGATTATTTTTCTTATATTTTAATAAAGTCTTTAGAGATTTATCTTGATTAAAACTTTTATACTACTTCCTAGGTTATTCTTCTGGACATATGGTCTGTGGCATTTGATCTACTTACACACATGACCATTTATTGCTTAGATAATTATTTTTACCTAACATTATCTCGAATTTGTCTAACCCACTTGTAATTCTTCACTTATGCTACTGCTTCGTTTATATCACTAACAGTTTGTTTCTGTGAAGATATCCGTATTATAATATTTCGGATCCTTCTCTATCTCTATCTCTCTCGCTCTCTTGTTGTTTCTCCATTACTGAGGATCGTGATTTTCTCTATTGGTCTCTATCTTCAGACGTTCTAAGTATTTCGCAGAATGATTGGCCCGCTCTGAATTCTGAATTTTATCTGACCATGTTGTTGGTGACCGCCCTCTTGGTCTTCTGTCCGGGACGTTTCCAGATGCAATTAATCTCTGTCATGAGTTATATTTAGTTAGTTATAGAAGAAAGAACTTATTCTTTAATAGTAAATTGGACTTTTATAGCCTGCAATATTTAATTTATACTCAATTTTTCGATAGCGTTTGTTATTTTTGTTCTACGACGTATTTCTTCACTTGGAATTTAGTCTCTTAGATATACACCTAACATCTGGCGCTCCATAGCCCTCTGTGAATCCCACCTGAATTTTGTTAACTACGTTTTTTCTGAGAGTTAATGTTTCCGCATCATAAGATTTTCCTTTTGAGGTATATCGGTAAGTCCGATTTAAATATGTAGTTTAATTTAGCAAACGCTGCCCAGGCTAATCATAAACGACGGGGGTGATCACATGTCTGGTTATCTCTGTCCAACCGAACCTCATCTCGTAAGTACTTATACGATGTAGTCTGCTCAATGTTCCTTTCATCAACAGCAATATTAGGATTTAGCACCAGATTTGTCATTATTTGCGTCTTGATCTTGTTAATCTTTAGACCGTCCTCCAAGGAAACCTGATGTAATTTTTTCACCATTATTATTGTACCATCCATACGATCGCCAGTACGAACGACGTAATCTGCGAATCTTAGATAACTGAGCTTCTGTCTATTTGTGTTGATACCATACTCGTTCAGATTTGCCTTCTTAAAAGTATGTTCTAAAAGCGGCGTAAATGGCTTTGGGTAGACGATGTCTTCTTGTCGTACTTCTCGCTGTATACATAATTTACGCTATTTGTGGCATTTTGGTAGATATATTTGTTTATGTTAGTGTAGCACGTTTTCTATCCCTCATTGTATTTATTTATGGGTCTTCTTTTCTACAGTTTCTATTTGATCTTGTAAATTTTCTATTTCCCCCCTTTGACTTTGTGTCTTCTGCTATCTTATCAACTTCTTTTTGTATTAATTGTAGATAACTCTTATTTTCATATTCATATTTTTCCAATGTACTTTCTATTCTCCTCGACATTTTTTATTTTCTTCCCATTTCTCTTCTTGTTATACTTCAAACATTTTTAAAATGTTTTTCTATGTTTTCTTGCTATTTTTTTATCATTGTTTTGATTTCTTATTGTTACACTTGCGTCATCATTATTAATTTTTTCAACATGTGTGTTCCTTTTTTTTTCTCAACTACAGTAACATTTTCCTCATTGTCAGAAACTTCTTTCACAAATTCTTTTTCCCTGTTGTCCTCTTTCCTTTCCTGCATTTTGTTTTGTTTTCTTGTGACTGATATGTTTACCAAAAACCAACAATAATCTCTTTTGTAAAAGAAACTGAAGCAAACCTTTCCAGCCGACATATTTTTTCCAATTGTTATGTGAAATAAATTGTAAAATTATTATTCACCACCTTCAAATAAATTTTAAGAATATTTTGTAAAATTCACATATACCACTTGTTTTAAAATGTAGAAAGAGAGAGAGAGAGAGAGAGAGAGAGAGAGAGAGAGAGAGAGAGACAAATATATAAAATTATTTAACAAAAAAATATGCTTCTACTTCTGTTCTATTTCCCACTACTATGCTCGTTATTTCTTTAACAGCCCACCACGTTTGGGCGACAGTTATTATGATATTGTACTTTGAGCTAATTTAAAAAACAGTTATTAATTTTATTCAAGTTAAATAAATTTATAAAAACAATAATTGATTTAATTAGTATTCTATTCTAATAAGTCTCAAAATTTTTAATTACGAACCCCAAATTTTAATTCACTTGATTACATATTATCTCAGGGTTTTCTCTGGGTTCTGAAATACCTTTACCTTGTAATAATGTTAAAATATGCAACAGGAGTACAAGGAAAATAAAAGAAATGTTCAATAAAAACTATTCAAATATATTGATCAGATACCTTGCAGTGAAACTGCGCAGTCCAAATTTAATCCCCCTGAATTAATTTACTATATTAACTTTTTAAGCTTATAAACAATTAAACAAACTTTATAAAATTTTATTAATAATTCCGTTTTAAAAGTTCGCTGTATGGGATTGTTCAAAGTCACGCCCTGGATTCTCGTTTAGAACTCGCTAACCGCCTGTCTTTGATCTGCCCCCAAAACCTAACATAGATCTCTAGTGCCGAAACAAACTCCTTTACCCTCTAGATACTAAGTTCTACCAATTCAAGTATAATTTGTGTTGTACTTACAGATTCTACTGCTATCAAACTTACTAATCTCGCCTCAGCCAGCGTACACGAAACCAAAACTGCTTCCACTTTTTAAAATAATATTATTTTCTTTCTCAATACAAACTCAACTTACAAAAACGGTAAAACCTTTCAATATACATATAAACTCTCTAGACTTTCATCTTATTTCTTTTACGGCACAAGAACAGATGATCTTTTTTCTACTTTAAAATAAGCTTCTAACCACAAATTCCCTTTTTAACTTTCTCTCTCTCAAATCAATGACAATCTAGCTTTGTAAAAAAACCAAAATTCCATTTTTTCCTTTCTCTGAGATATGCCAATTATATATTTTGGCTTTTCTCTTTAACAATCTACAAAAACCGCTTTGCATAAATTAAAACTTTCTCTGATTGCCTGCTCAAAATATCTGCAAAAAATTGTACTATGTTTTAAAATCTTTTAACTGCCGCGAATGACTTGATTGAGAAATCTTATAAAAAATTTCTGAAAGTTTTTAAAATTAAAACTATAATCCACATTTACGCAATACAATATTAGAAAATATTTGACATACTTATTTCGTTATTTATATATTTATATTTAATATTACAGGTTGGAGTAGTGGGTCGAACTGGTGCAGGGAAATCAAGTTTAGTTTTCGCATTATTTAAACTTGCCCCAATAGAAGGATCAATTTTTATAGACGGGATAAATATTTCAGATCTAGGGTTAAATGAGCTAAGGATGAATATTTCTATTATCCCTCAAGACCCAGTTCTATTTTCGTCCACAGTGAGATATAATTTAGACCCCTTTGAGAAACACTCTGATGAAATTTTATGGAAGGCTTTAGAAAATGTAAGTTTAAAATCTACAAAATAATATATCCGTGTATGTTTATGTTTGTGGCTTACGATATTTACATATATTTAAAGGAAACTTTAAAATTAATAGTGTCCATAACTAAACCCATTTTTTTTACATTTCCTCAAATTTAGCACAAAAGTACTCGATATAATGCAATAAGGCACTTGGCGAAAGTGGGTCTTATAATAAGGCACAAGACAGATTTCAGGGAACAATGATAAGTACTTTATGTTAGTTAGAAGTTGAAACAGAGTGACGCAAAGGTTAATTATTTCCATCAGTGAGAATTTGCTATACTTAGACTGTATACCTAGACCGAATATATCACAAACTGGACATATAGGTACGTTAATGATACACAATTTGGTTTTCGCAAAGGCCTAGGAACTCGGAAGCTCTTTTTCACTTAATATACTGATACAAAGATGCCTGGACGTCAATCAAGATATATACGCATGTTTTATTAACTATAATAAAGCATTCGATAAAGTACGACATAAACAATAATTGAATGTCCTGAAATCAAAGAAGATTGACTGCAACGACCTCAGGATAATATCAAATTTATACTATAAACAGCGAGCAAAAGTACGTGTTAACGAACAGCTGTCAGAAGAAATTGAAATTAGGTGTGGAGTGAGACAGAGATGCGTATTGTCGCCAATTCTTTTTAATGCCTACTCCGAAAAGATCATGAAAAACGCTCTTGAGGGTAAAACAGCTGGAATAAAGGTAAATGGAGTTCCCAATAACAACATTAGATATGCGGACGATACTGTGATCTTAGCCGAAAACATTGAAGATCTTCAGAGACTGGTGACCAGAATAGAAGAGTATGGAAAAGAATATGGTCTAACAGTGAATGTCAAGAAAACGAAATTTATGAGAATATCGAAAACTCAAAGAAATAACGAGAATCTTCTAATAAACGGAACCAACGTCGAACAAGTGGACAAATATGTATATCTGGGAACAATAATTAACTCCACAAATGATTACAATCAGGATATCAAAATAAGAATAGAAAAGGCTATAGCAAATTTCAACAAAATGAGAAGAGTGCTATGTACTAGGGATTAAAAACTTTAACTAAGAGTTAGGTTGGCGAGGTGCTATGTTTTTTCGACTTTATTTTATGGCTTGGAATTTTGGACCTTGAATGCAACATCAATGAAAAAAACTGGAATCATTCGAGCTGTGGGTGTACAGAAGAATATTGAAAGTATCGTGTACAGAACACGTCACAAACACAGAAGTTCTCTGTAGAATGAATAAAGCAATGGAAATTTTAAATGCAGTAAAAACACAAAAATTAGAATATCTCGGACATATTACACGTGGAGAGAAATACACTCTGCTCCAATTGATTATGCAGGGAAAGATACAAGGAAAGAAAAGCATAGGGAAGCGTAGATTGTCATGGCTGCGCAACCTGAGAGAGTGATACGAATGTACATCAAATGAACTTTTCAGAGCAGCCGTCTCAAAAGTCCGAATAGCTATGATGATTGCCGACCTCCGCCGCGGATATGGCACTTGAAGAAGACACCGTAGGTTATGTGGCAAATCTTCAGGCACTAGCGTACCATAGGGTCAGAAGAATTTAACTGTCCTAGTTACTTGAACAAGGCACAAAATTCTGGCGGAATTTGAAATCGAAAGAACAACTGTTTTATACTTTTATATATGTTAGGAGATCGTTGTATCGAGAGATGCAACGAATGCAGTGGAATGTTTTCGAAAAAACTGTTAAAAGTATTTGTAAGTAGTTTGTATGAAGCAAATTATCGACAGCAAATTTATATTTTATTAGCGGAAAAATTTGTTTTCTTAGAAAAGTATAATTTTATTAAAGATAAACAGATAGGTAGGAGCAGGTGTAAAAAGACCCAATTAAAATAATGAACTTCCTGTGAACCTAAAGGACATATATTTTAGAAAAAAAATTGGGTTATTCTAAAATTATTAAATGCGAATCAACTACTCTGCGGAGTATTGCCCGCAATTTTTTAAATGGTGTACTATCGTACTATTCTAACAATATCCGTCCACATATCGCAAATATGGTAAGAGATTATTTAAATAATGTTGATAACATATCAATGAATTGGGTAATATATAGATAGAGTCCGTGTAATTCTGTAGATATATAAATAAAATATGAAAACACATAAGAACAGCAAGAAACTATTACAGAAACAATAAAGATGAAACAACTCTATCAGAACTTTAATACGACATTTATATGTTGTTATAGAATCTCAAATTTATCATGGTAAATGTACGATGCATATGAGTATAAGAAGAACTGAAATGTTTAGTCTTTTTTTCCATAAGTTTTGGTTATTTTACCCAATAGTTATTTTCATTTAAGAATATAAAATTAATGTACTTGAAACACTAATTTCATTTATAAAATATATTATATATTTAAGGTACAACTTACAAGTGTTATTCATAATTTAAGTCAGCTTATTACTAAAGGGGGTTCCAACTTTAGTGCAGGTCAAAGACAATTGATTTGCCTTGCAAGAGCGATTGTTCGTAATAATAAAATTCTTGTCATGGATGAGGCAACTGCGAACGTAGACATGCAGTAAGTATATCATTATAATTATTACAAACACATAGGGATACATATTACGTATATATATATATATATATATATATATATATATATATATATATATATATATATGTAAATTTGGTAAATGGTTTTTTGTGAGTTCTGAATCATTTTTGCCTTTAAATCGTCGCCTGAGAATTATACTGTTCTATATCCACTTTTTGGCAGTTTGGAGTTATACACATTGAAATTTTTGTAAAAATTAGCTTGTTCTATATCCATTGAAATGATGATAATATTCAGAACCAATTAAAAGTTTTCAGTAACATTTAGTTCTATATCCCGTATGCCTCAAAATATTTTTAAAATTGTTTTGTTCTATATCCTCTTTAACTTTTAGAATAAATACGTTACTAGAATTAGAGTGTTCTATATCCATTACGCATAATGTGTTTAATACCGGACTGTACGTGTATGTACATCATGGCATGTTGGTAAATGATCTATTGTTTTTTGTAAAAAGTGAATAGTAAGAAAATGTATTTAAACTAAATAGTAGTGGGTATTCCTGAAACAATTTAAGTAAGTACGTTTAATATTATTGTGTTGATTTAATCATCCCTATTAAACGAATTTGCAATATTACCTAACCTCAAAATTTTCATAGACACGGATATTTTATTGAATAAAATGTAATTAAACCTATTCAAATCAATAAAAAATCTTGATAATTATTATAAAAAGAAATATGTTACACATTATGTATTTGTAACTATTAAATTACTAATACGGGTTGTATGTGTTTTGATATGAATAGAGTAGTACAGGGGAGGATTAGCAATGGATTAGCATGAATGTTTCAGAAAGTAATGTGGTCATATTTCAAATTCGTTCCTTTTAATTTTGTAATTTTGATTCGAATTGCATGTGTTTCTTACTACATTGATATTTAAATCAATTTCTTTTTGCAGTTTATAATGAGTGCAAAACTTTCACCGTCGCCAACAAGGCCTTCTTCATGTCCTAGTGACGTTTGGAAGTAAGCTTACATTAAATTTTTTGAGAAATAATACCACTAAATAATATCTTATTTTAGCTCTTTGTGGCATATTATCGAAGAGGATGTCGAAAACAACAAAGAAAACATTAGTAAAGAAACATCTCAAGATAAGCACGGACCTAAAGCGACACCAAATGAGGAAAAAGTTGTTGTTTTACAAATGGTTACTTTAAACACTATAGATACACAAAATTTACAATTTAGCACACTGCAAGAAGTAGACGTATTGGCACAAAACTATGAAGAAAAAGAAAATAATCTTCAATTACAAAAGTTACCTGAGAGTCAAATTGAGATGGCAGACGAAGAAGAGTATCTTAACGAAGAAGTTAATAAACCCGCGGTGATTAGTCGAAAACGAAAAAGAAGACCATCAGATTGGAAACAAAATATAAGAAAACATAAACGACAATCTGGACAAGAATATGTTGATACAATGAAGCGGACCAGGAAAAAGAAATCTGTGAAAATAGAGACATGTCGATCTGAAAATTGTGTACTACAGTGTACTGCTAAAATTACTCCTGACGAAAGAGATACAATTCATAGACAGTTTTGGTCTCTTAATGATGACAAAAAGAATCAGTTCTACTCAAAGCATGTGAAGCGTATTTTGGCAGTAAGAAAAAGAACTAGAAGATAATATCAAAAATATTTTACATTAAATTTAAAAACGCTCTCCTGTAAAATTGAGTTTTTGATGGAACAGTATAATTCTCAGGCGACGAAATAGTGTTCACTACATATACCTAACAGAAAAAAAAACGAAATAATGTTTGATACCAACAATGTTGCCATAACGTTCGATACAATTAAAATATAGTGATAAAATACATTGAAAAATTTTATTACACATATAAAACAAACCAACTATAAATATCGCTTCTTCCCTATCCTGACAACTAAAAACTGTGCTGCCAAAATTAATTTGCTATACTAAATTTCGTTACAAAATTTTTATTTAAAAAATCAATTTAATAAATTTAATTATTTACTGTTCCGTTTCAAAACTTTTTATCTTTGTAATATTGTTCTCAATTTTATTAAACCGATTAACTTTCAATTTCTTTCAATTTTAAAATTGACTCTGATACTCCCTTGCCACTCGCTAGCTCCACTTTCTTCTTGGATCTGCTCCCAAAACGGATCTGGATCTCACGTTCTAACCAAAACTCCTATGTTCTTATGAATACAAAATTCTTCTGGCTTAAGCTTCTCCCGATGCAATGATAATTTATTGATGCTTACAAATACAGCTAATAATAACTTCTGCCCTGTTACCAATCAGCGTACATGAAACTGCTACCACTACCCTTTTTTCAAACTAAAACGTAATTCACACAACTTAATTTTTTTCTACCGTTTAAATTCACCGGTTTTCAATTTTCACAAACAAGAACAGACTGTATTTTTCTCTGCTTTCAAAATCTCATCAAACATACAACTTAACCTTCTCCTCTCTATGTTCAACCAATGATCTTTTAGTATTTCAAATAAACATAATTCCCAGTTCCTATGAAATCTCTCCCCCTTCGGATGAGATTCCGAGGTAAAAAAACTGTATCTTGCGCGTAAAAAACTGTAATCTGAAAATACTGCGCGAACTGGCTGAGTACTACTGGTCTATAACATACAGCTTTAAAAAACATAAATGCAGCATAAATGAAGCAGCTGGTAGAAGATGAAGTTGGATAGGAAAAGAATGGAAAATATCAGGGACGAGTTTAAACACCAACCAAACAATAGAGAAAAAATTAAAAATAGAAAACTAAACCGATTTGGCACGCTTCTAGAATGAATGATAATAAAATAGTAAAGAAAGTGATTCATTCAATTTTATGGAAAAGCAATGGAAAAATACTCACAAATATACATCAAACAGAAAAACCCTCCACAGAAACGAATGGACTAAATTCATGAAATCGTGTTATGTACCTGAATGTGATTAGGATTATTTTCCTACGTCGTCGATTAAGTAGCAAAAACAGGCAGCAAGGAATTGGTAACAAAGTTCTTAACTCCGACACAACAGGTTTCAACGCCTCAAAAAAAAACATCCTATGAACATAGATGTAAATAAGGTATAACCAAATCAACAACCGCAATCATACAGACACACTCGCATACATACGCACACACATACATACATATCTTCGTAAGATATTGGGTTTTATGCCTCGTTATGTGGATTACCTTTTCCTCACGGCCGCTGAGTTGACTGTCGAGTCCACCACATGTAACTCGTTCAATAGTAATCCACACCAGGACGAGAACCTACCCAGTAAAACCCTATGTCCTCCTTCCCCTCAAACGCACTTGTGATACACGTGGAATCGCTTTGGTGAGGGCCCATCTTCGCCACTATTTGCGCCTCACGTCTCTAAATTGTTACACAGCTGAACTTAACGTTACACACAATTTTATGGTGGCTACAGCAGTCTTTCTTCAGTATCTTTGGACTGGACGATATGTCTCACGAATACATGGGTCCTGGCCTCTTCATACTCACAAATCCTCGCAATAATATCCCTCACATAATCAAAACGAGCACCATTCCTTCTCTCCAATTATAATCTATATACACTTAATGTTCCACATTTGAACAGTATATGTGACATAGTGTCGACCAAACTACAGTAAGGGTAGTTATATGTAGCCACTTTCTCTAATATCTGTGTGTTTTCTGGTTTGACTCCACGTTGATTAATTTTGATTTTTTGAAAAACCATTGGTTTGACGAAGTATGCGCACAGATACGATTACAAGAAGCGCTGCAAGGTATTTAAGCTGAGCACACAGCGGATTAGAAATCACCTCCTTAGTCGTGGAAGCATTGAGATCATGTGCGACAAACATGGGGTCGATGGCCAGGTCTTTCGGGTACCCAGCCGATGAGAAGAACAAAATTTACATACACATATTTCGGATAGAGAGACAGCAACTGAGATTGAAGGGTCTCTATTCGAAATAAACACTTTTGTTAGGGACTCAAGTCCTGTAGTCACTTCCTTTTGTTATCAGAAATAAATTCAGTAAAGTAAATAGGGAGAAAAGCCGATTTTTTGGTATCCGTACCCAGGACACCCTAAGTAACATTCAGTTCATAAGCCTCCTGACGTAAGTCACACGCTGGGGAAGTGAAGGACAGGGTTAAAAGACTGCCGACAACATGGTAACCGCTGCTTCAGCGACCCCCTGCCCGAATCGTTCCCGCGCATACTGAGAATATAAAAGCAGCTACAGATCGTAAATACCGATTAAGACCTCAGTGCCGTTTGACGGTACAGAACAAGATAGTACGTCACGAGTGAAGGGGGTAGGTAGATTGAGACCCCGAACTTAAACGAAACCATATCCGTTTTAGTTATGACTCCAAAATGTGTGCTGAAGCGTCGTATCCTAAATTTTCAACGCGATTCTTCCTGAGAACTTAGTAATTTTCATATAAGGTAAGTGCGCCAAATATTGCCATGCTCCTAATTTTGCCACTCCCTATAAAGTTATTAATTTGTCCCTTGAATTACAGATGGTCATGTAAGCTTAAATATCGAATTAAAACAACCACTCTTAAAACGTTATAGGTGGAACCAGTTAGTATTGGTGTTCACGGCAAAGCAGCCGGTATTTCGTGCGATTTGTTTATAAAAACGTGGGAAACCTGTAATGATTGTTATAAGCTAGCTAATACCGACAAGAGAAGTGTGAGAACGTTATCAGGTAGGTACCTTCAAGTACTTTATTAATCCATATTGTGTGGCAATATTTGGAACCTAACATGAAAATTTAGTTTTTATTAATAAAAACTTTATTTTCAACAGAATGCCGGATAGAAAAACCCTGTGGTCTGAGGCGAATCTCGTTTCAGCGTTAGAAGCAATAAGAGCTGGAAGCAGTATCAGCCAAGCTTCATTACGATATGAAATACCTCGAACAACACTTGGACTACATTATTTCAGCCAAAATTCGGTTA